CCCAGCTATCTTCAGAAGGTTCTTGAAATTAGATGGAAGACCCTGTGAAATTGAGTCGAGGACCTTCATTGCTCTGCCCTAAAGCACCAAATGTTTTATCAAATGACTCAAACTTTTGAAATCTAGTTTATTTCAATTAAAAGTAAAGCACATGTTTAAATCTCTCCTATTTACAATACATCAGTGGATGAAAATAAAAGTGCATTTTTGGTTAGAGCTTGCTTATTATCTGTATTAGGACAGTCTGGAAGAAAATATGAATATGAATATGCAATTAGGATCTCAAAAATTTGGAAAATAATATTACAAATGACTAAAAACAGCAACAAAATATAACATGGCAATTAAAACCCTTTTCAAATAGGCAGTCCCATTTCATAACCTCAAAGGTTTCCAACAATGAAAAATATACATGAACAAAAGATATAAACATCACAGTTTAACCAATACAGTCACATTATCCCATTCTCTTTATTGCTTAATAAAAAGGTGCTGAAACAATAATGGTTTAATTTAATTTAATTTAATTTAATTTCCAATTTATATACCGCCCTTCTCCCTGAGGACTCAGGGCGGTGTACAGCCAAGATAAAAAACATAGAATACAAATATTAAAACATTTAAAAATATATATAAATTTTGGCCCGAAAGTTAAGAATCACAGACTAATTAAAAGAATTTAAAAATTTTAAAAATTTCTTCTTAAGCCAACCCGGCTTGTTGAAAAAGATAGGTTTTCAGGGAACGACGGAAGGCATTGAGGTCCTGGATTCTCCTTATCTCAGGGGGCAACTGATTCCAGAGGGTGGGAGCCCCCACAGAGAAGGCCCTCCCCCTGGGGGCCACCAGCCTACATTAACCTGCCTTAGAAGAGCAAAAATGACTTTTTCTAAGAAGAGAGTCTCATTCAACCTGGTTTTGAAGTAATCGCAATTTTGCTCACTCAAGCTTCCCAGCAAGCACTCCTGAACAAGGTGCAAAGTAATTCTAGGTGACTGATAGCTAAATGTAACGTCTCTATCGAAAGACTTTATAACAAATCTTTTATTGGCAGTAAAATGTTAAGTTAGGGAAAGCTGGCTCTAATTATTTATTATTATTAATTTTATTTATTAATGAGATTTATATGCCGCCCTATCACCAGCCGGACTCAGGGTGGCTCACAACAGTAAAAAACATCTAATGAAAAAGTTTAAAAGAAATTAAATCCAAATCTCATAATTTAACAGTTAAAAGTGCAATTAAGACTAACAAGTTAAAAATTAAAACCCCATCAGTCAATTAGATGCTTCCTCCCTTTTATTTCACAAAAAAATACCTCTAAGGATATGCAGGTCCCTTTTTTCACCATTTAAATATTAGGGATGTGCAAGAGTTCTTTGCACAAATTGTTCCATGGAATATTTAGCGTTGAGATGCCTAAACTGCACCATAACTGTGTCTGGTATTTTGAGCCATGCATTTGATGAAATAGGGCTGCCTAGAAATGGTGGTTGCAGAGTGGAGGAAAGCTAAGGATGTTGGTGGGTGGTGGAGGTGGGATAAACACGTGTGATATATTACCCTGGGACACTGGTGGTGATGACTGAAGGACAGAAAAAAAGGTGAGGGACAGATGGGAGTATGCTGCACCGAGTATTATGGAAGAGGAAGAAGACATATAGAACATTACCATTCTCACCTTATCTGAATTTTGTTTTGTCTGAAACCTGAAACAACTGAGATGCTTTGGATTTTGGTTTAACCAAACCAAGACTGACCTGAAATGGTTCAGCAGAACTTCTGGAATATGATGGTTTGTTGCCGGGATTCAAAGCAAAGCATTCTCATTTCATGGACACACATAGCTTTAACTGAAATTGCTTCAGGGGACAATATTTCCACATATATTTCCATCTTTGAGAATAATGCACCAAAACATAATAGTTCATTGGAGGATTTCATTGCAAGAGTGAGAATTCACATAGCTGGCATGGCAAGCAGTTGCCCTGCATCATGAATGAGATAAAATCTATTATAAGTTCTGTATCTATGTCTTTATCAGTTCATTACTCGATTTTCCCTAGAAGCACATTTTGTGTATTATAAGTAATTGTAGTAATTGCTTTTAGATGCATCAATTACAGACTTCCATCTTCATGAAAATCAACCTCCTTCTGTTTTGTCTAATCCCTAACACTCATTATCCAGTTGCCTTAGATTGAATACCACATCTTTGCTGTTATCCCAATAGATTTTCCGAAGATTTTAATTATAATTTAACAGATTCTTCCTTATCCCTTTTCAGGAGAAAAGTCCTAGGACCTAGACCCAACACCCAACTACCATCAAGGGGTGGGGGGTAAGCAGTAGTCATCCCCATATATAGGAGAAAGAGAGGGAACAGCTGGATGTTGCTTGTAAATAGGAAAAAAAAGTTATTTCAGATTTAGCTGAGTTAGATAATCAGATAAGTTAGATAATAAGATTTTCCCCCCTAAGAAACCTCCCCCCCAGTTGAGACTTAAGAATGAAGTGTTATTAATGGAATGGGGAAAAATGGAAATGGCTGTATATAATGTAATGCAATTAATTATCCAAGGAACACAGGACAAATAGCTGCTTTTACATATAATAGCAAGAGGACGGAATAGCTGGATCTATTAATCAGCAGACCTCTGGATGCCTCTCATCAGTATTCCAGGAGTCTTTTTAACCATGGTGCCCAAATTCAGAAAAGGGGCCTCCTGCAGCGATCTGTCTCTGACCAAGGAGGTCAAATTATCAATACTGATTTCCGGATTGCTGCATTGGGGAGGGAAGGGAATGGGTGTGAGCAAGCACTGCGGGGCTGGCCAGAACCTGATGGCTCCTGACTGCTTGTATTAGCATATGCAGCTGTCTGATGCCCTACCCTCAGGAATAACAAAGCCCTCTTCCACCAGGTTGGAAAACAGAGCAATATTGAATGAAAGGGCATCTGTGGGCATCCATATCCATTCTGAATGCATCTAGGAAGACAACATCTGTGCCTGGGCTTTTGTTTCCTGGAAGCAAGTGCAGGGAAACTGATGTTTTCTTCAATCCTGCCCTGATGAGTTATGGGTGGGCCAACTTAGTAAGTTAGTATTCTGAGAAAACATCTCTTTCCATATATTTTCTTAATGCTTAAGGAGGAAGGGATGTGATTTTATTTTTAATTATTTTTTTAAAAAAAGAAAAGTCTGCCAAGTGTCTGATGTTATGATAGCCAGTCCATTTCTCTTCTGTGCTTCCTGAGAATCACCACACCCTTTACTGCAGTATCACTTTTCTCCACGGGCTTTCTTGCAGACTCAGGGAAACATAAAAGAAAATAAAGGCTACAGAGAAAGGGGCTTGGAGGGAGGGGAAAAGATGCCGTTTCAGCCATTTGCACTTTGCAAAACTCGGCTAAAATTGGAGGATTCGAGGTAGGATCTTGATACCCATTGGTAAAGCATGGGGGGTTATTTTGACACTCCCAGACCTGCAGTCCCGATTCCTGGAGATCGCTCCGGCGCACCGCAACCTTTCCCTTCTAAGATGCAAAGGGCGGGAGCGTGCAGTCCAGGGGTGTGGCGGAGGTTTATGGAGTCTGCATGGAAAAATAAAAAATAATAAAGGCGGGGCGGGGGAGGGGGCTTTGCTCTAGTCAGACAAAATAAGACCAAACTCGCTGGAGGCATCGTAATGAGTAGGCGATTGCTGTATAGAGAAAGGGAAGAGGAAGAGGAGGCTAATCCAAGTGACCTACTTCAGGGCACACAAACACACACCGGCTGCACACCGGCACCCATGGATGCAGCAAACCAGCCAGAGCATTCGGAAAAATCAGCGACGGTGCCACGGAAGGCATCTAGGGGAAGGCGGAGTATGTGCTTTGATGTCCTCCGCTCCCTTCGTGCGTCTTTCTCGCTAGCGGGAGGGGAGGGGGGAGGGAAGCAGGGAGGGGCGAGTTCCCCCGGGGCTCCTGCGAGGCGGTGGCGCGCCGGCGGCTCCGGCGGCGGCGAGATGGGTGGGGTCGGTCTGCATTGTGCTCGGCTGCTTGAACGGGTGGCGTCCAACTCTGCAGGTGCAATCTCGCCGGGAACGCCCGGAGCCCGGGCTCAGCGCGAGCCTTACACACAAAGCCCTGCTCGCCAACGCCGCCCCAGCCCTAACTGCCTTTGCTGCCGAAAAACAAGCACACACACACATATACACACTCAGAAACACACACACACAGAGCTAGCAAGTATGACACAAACGCACGCCTCGCTTCCACCTTCTGCCCCCCCCCCCGCCGCACAAAGGCACGCGAAAGCAACGCGTTTACTACATTCGGCTCCCGACCTCTCTTGCAACAACCCTCGCCAAAGGAAATGTTGTCCGTCTCCATCGCATCCACGTGGCGGGCGGGTTGGCTAGGGAAGGCGGCTGGCCAGCTTCCCCCGCACGCCCGGTGCAAAAGTCGCTCCCCCTGGTTCTGAGAAAGGGCGGCGGAGACCCGAGGGACTGGGCAGAATCGGAGGTCAGAGCGAGCGATGGGGAGGCTTGGAAACGAGCCAGCCCAAAAGACACAATAAGTTTACTGTTTTGCTCTACCTTACCCTCCCCAGTCTGCCACTGCCCAGTCTGTCCAGAAGAGTATTTTCTTAAGCCCCTAAAGGGACCCCTGGTTTATCCGACGTTAAATCGAAGAAAACAGGACTAAGATTTAAGTCGGACCGCATCCAAGAAATGATTTGGGAATCAAGCTATTTAAAAAAAAATCAATTTTTTTTTTAAAAAAAATAATCTTCAAGTAAAGCATAGACTTAAGATCACGACTGTTTAGCCCTCTCCCGATTTGGCTTTTAGAAAAACCAAGGCTAATAATAATAATAATATAATAATAATGATAATAATAATAATTCCCCCTTTTAGAAATACAATGCAGCACCAAGGACAGCAGCAAGGGAAAGGTTTGAAGAGAGAGAGAAAGGCTTCGTTGCCGGAAAGAAACGCTCGGTTTGCCTTACCCATTGCAGTTTTAGCCATTGTAGGTGCTACAGAAGCTCCGAGCTTGCGAAGGCAAAGAGGTCCAGCTACAGCAGTGGAGAGAGCGCGCGCGCGAGGAGACTAAGGCACTGAGTCAGCAGAGCGGGGCTGAGCACAAGAAGGAGCGAGAGGCAGGAGCCCATGAATAATTATCACCCCTCAGCCTAAGCAGATTGGCTCGAGAGGTCCCCTGACATGACTCCCGCAGAAACAGATTCTCTGAGCATTAAATATTGATCTGCCTGTGGTGCTGGAGTACAAAGTGCCAGAATGCAGTTTGAAATGGAAATTGGCCCTGGAGTGCTGTGTTCCCCCTTTGCTTTCGCTTTGATAGTACATTCCATGTCAAGAGCTTAATATCCTACAAGAAAAACCTATTGGTCTTGAAATCTCTGGCTGTTGCTAGATGTAAAACATGCACAAATGCATTCTAAGACAATTTTGTGGCACTAACAGAAATAGGAGGGGAAGCGGGACAATTTAAAGGCTGTTTGTTTTCCTTTTATCCACTTTGCATAATGCTGATGCTTATGCAGTATCTATATATCAATATATATATATAATATTTGTGGCTGAAATGTTAGGCATGCTTTTCTATGAGTAGGGCCTACTGAGCCCAGTACTGCAGAATTTAATTAAGATTGGATTATACACTGGTCCCGTTATTTCTTAACACAAGCATTCAGTGCTTTTGTCTTCACTTTCTTGTATCACTAAGGTATGTGGGGGACTTACTTTCACCAATTTAGACCTATAACAAAATATAGAATAATTGCTTGGTTTAACTTTCACATTTTGTCTGTTTGTGACAGTGACAAGTTGGTATTCTTTCATCTGGAGAACAGAGAAGTAGTAACTCGAGTAATTATCATCCAGCTAGGCTAGCTGCGTATGAAATATTCCTTCTTGCCCTCTCCTTTCAACATTAAACAATGAGGGGTTACTGTAGAGAGGGCTAAAATGGTGCTGTTATTGAAGTGACTTAAATTGTTTTTTTCTTTGAGACCCATGCATCTTTAATGTATTATCTGATTTAACATGTTCTTCTAACATGTTTTTCTCCAGCTCAATAAATGAGAAAGATACTTTGTCACAACTAACTACAATGAAATCCAAGATAAAAAAGGAAACCTTTCTCTTTTTGTCAAGAGGGCTGTATATTATATATTGAGAGTTGATGAAGCTGAAACCAAATAGGGCTGAAGTAACTTCAGCCTTGCTTTCCAACATGATCTTTTCATCACTTTCTTTCTGGTACTGTCTCATTTCTTCTCTTCCCTCTTGAGATAAGATTTCTTCAGAGTAAACACATCATTCCTGACCATTGAAAAGAAATGTTGGATTCATATTCGCTTCCAAATGCAATCCTCAAAGAAATAAGCTATCATTTCCAGACAAAACATGTTAGCTATGCATCCTCTTTCTTATTAAATATTGCCTCCATCTTGAGTGGATTATATAGTTTCTCAAATATAAGACTGGGATTAAATGACCCTATTATACATTACTTAAGAAGTTTTGAAGATAGGAAATCTCTATTGGGATCTTAAAAAATGGGAATGCATGACTCGTAGCATTGTCTGAAGAAATTTATCATGATGTGGCCATAACTGGGAATTTGACATCCGTAGATACTTCACACGTTTCTCCCCCTTTTTTATGACTCTGTACTCTGTACTCTGTACTCCCTTAATTCAGGGTAGAATCAGGGCAACTAAATGGAGCTGAGTGTTTACTGACATCTATATGGAGTTCACAGCAGATATTTTCTCTTTTGCACCCGTCTGACAGAAAAACATCTGTTGCTGTCTAGGATTGAATCTCAATTTTCCAAGTGAGAGGCAATTATCTTCACCTGTAGGCCACCATGCTACTCAGCTATTTCACAGAAATTGCCATAAATCTACTCACATTTAAATCTAAACTAATCCTTGCTTCTATTAAAAACACACACACACACACAGTTGGATGAGGAAAATATTTGAAAGAGCTTAGACCAGGCTTCCCAGTTTGATAGCATTCAGATCACTAGGAGTAGAATTCACAAAGCATTAATTATTAGAATTGTAATCCCTAAACATCTGAAGGGCATTCAGTTGGATTAGGCTGACTTTGATAGTTAAGGTCCAACATTACAAGGTGATGCAGCAAGTGTCCATCACTTCAATAGGAGCTTACATCTTTGCACCCCTCTATGTTATATACAGAGCTCTCTTTGAATCAGTAGGGGAAACCTCAGAGTTGTTCATTGCAGAATATTGATGTGAAAACAGGCTTCTGGTGATAAAACCTGTTATAGTTAATAGGGGCTTTTCACTGGTAACAACCCATTGTGGTAAAAAGAGAACAATAAGCAGGAAAGACAGGGGTTTCTATTTAATCCATGGTGAGTAATATAGAAGCTCAGTAACAACTGGGCATTGTAGTTCAAAATATCTGAACGCTTCCTATCTCTAATTTAAGCAAATGGAATCAAAATTGGCTTTGAAGAATCAAATGGTTGCTACAGTGTAATGAATGTATTCTTAATGTTTATGAAAGAAATCTGAATTCATATCTTCACACATTTTGAGGCAATTTCAAGTTATACTATAACAAGTTCCTTGGATATAAGGGGAAAAAAAGGAGAAGTTGCTGAGAAATTACGGTAGGATCAAAATCCAAATAGAATATTTTAAAATGGGCAACATTTCAGTTGGAATGATACCATCTTTTACTTAATTGTGATGTTGGGAAAGTGACTCACTAAATTTTCTTTGAGTTTTTTTTGTCAAATCCTGCCACTAAAATATAAGGTAAGAATCCAGTCATCAAATAAAATAGTCATAGTAATTTATTTGTGATTAAGAATTGCCATTCAGAAAGCCAGAATCCTGGAACTGTCCTTGGTACTGAAAGACCATGTATATTTTCCAGCTGTTAAAATGCCAATTGAACTACTTAGCTGAAGTGTTTACTTACAGGATGTAAGAAAGCCTGTCTCACCCTACTAAACTAAAACTGGCAATGAAATGATGAATTGGGGTTTGAGTATGAAATATGTGTTACAGATAATTAAGAAAGTGATGGTAAATAAAAGTCTATAATGTCTGTAAAACTGTAATATCATGATACAGATTCATTTGAAATAATACATTCAATTCTGGTCAACACGAAAAGAACAATGTAAAGTGGGAAATGCAAATAAAGAAAATAAAATAATTAAGAAGTTAAACTAATTCTTTATAAGTAAAGGATACAAAAACGGAGGCTTTTAAATGTGGCTGTACAAATCTTCAAAGAGGTGGTGATAGCTCATCCATTATAGTCCCTTGGAAGAATGGCATAGATGTTAGTGTTAGAAATTGAAAGAGTTGATGGCAGATTGGCCATGCTTTAATGCTACACAAGGCAAAAGTGAGGATGAAGTTCTTCTGCAAGATGTATTGGGTGCAGCTAGCAATGTCCTTTTTTTAAATTTAAAAGTAATGACAAATAAGGAGAAATAACTGAAGTGAACAAAATTCAGATGCAAGGAAAGTGAACAGGCATCCCTTCCATCCTGGAATACTAGAACTGAAGGTCATCTAGTGAAGTACTATTATGGTAGATTTAGAACAGACAAAAAGATGTACTTCTTCACATATATAAAAAACTGCTGCCAGAAAATGTAGGAATGAATGACAAATTGGATGACTTAAAGAGTATTTAAAGAGATATTGATGAAGTCATGACAATGAGTCATAATAGCAACATATAACTTTTACATTTAAAACAATATTCTGTTGAGTAAAGGTTGCTAGATAAGAAGCTCCTGTCATATAGGCTTTGTGATTAGCTTCTGTCAGGACAAAATTCAGACCTAAATGGGCCTTTTTTTCTGAATCTGTGGCATTCATTAGATCTCTTTATCAGCTATTTTAAAGTTGAGTCTTATTTGGATAAATATTGCAGCTTCTCATGTTAATATGACCTGTCATTTTTATACTTATGCCTCAGGAAAATTATATCTGAAAGTGGAAAAAAGAAATAAAATACAGGAGGTAATTCTAATACTTAGTATTTGTTTATTATCAAATTGGAAAGTGATTTTTTTTAAAAAAAATCTGAATATATTGAAATATTGGTGTTATTACTATGTGTCAATACATTTGATTGTTTAATTACCATATATATTTTGTAATTTTGCATGCCCTAATCTACCAATATAAATATGAACATTAAAAAATAGGGTATTCAATTTAAAGCCTTATAAAAATATGAATCCCCACAAATTTTAATGCTAGCGTATGAAGATGCATGAAATCACATAACAGTTCTTTTCTTCTGTGATTTTTTTCACTGGAGAATGGTGGGAATGGAAAGGACAAGGTGAGACAAAAGGGAGAAGGGTGTCTCTCCCTGTGGCTCTTCCATAGTTCATTAAATTTCCATATTTGAAAAGAAAATGTGGCAGGATAACAGGCCACATTATTAACTTGTCAGTTAGAAAAAAAGTAGCTCCCTCAGGAAACAGGGAGGACGTTGAGCAAGTGTCATCGAGATTTCCATCATCAAAAATGGTCCCAAGAAATTATATCACTATACATCATTTCAAACCTTTAGTGTATCAATTATTTACGGGGAGTTGTTATTGGGCTGTCAATGGAGCACTCATACTGAATTTTTCTGACTGGGGTTATGCAAATTATAGAGGAAGAGCGAGTTAAATTTCAGAATTTGACATGCGAATTGCCTGTTTTATAATGTTTTCGGTCAATGATTCTTTTTAAACTTGAAGTAATTCAAGTCCATCCATCCATCCATCCATCCATCCATCCATCCATCCATCCAATATTTTAGAATATTTTTATTTCTTAACTCAATTATTTTTTAAAAAATATATAAAAATACTGTAATTCTTGAAGCAAACTCAACCACGGCAGCTCTTTGTGATAAAGACCCAAACACCCTTCCAAAAAGTAAGGTACACTCTTAAAGGCCCGGAAGTTAAGGATATTCTATATTTTAGGAGACAGGATATTTCAGAGACTGGAACAGCTTCTCACAGGATCTGTTGATAGCCCCATCACTCACATTTCCTCTGGGTGGGAATTTCTAGTATAGCCTTCCTCAGAGAATGCACAGTGAGGACCAAA